GTGCCAGGCCTTCCTGCTGCTTCTGCACGTATCCCTTAGGACTAGTTGGGGTCCGTGTCACCGTGAGGGAAGGATCAGGATGACCAGAAACGCTGGCCCTGACATCACTGCACTGAGAAACATTAATGTTAGCTGTGTCCAGACTGTTAGTCCTCCCGGGCTGCTGTAGCAGCTTCATAGAACTGGGCGGCTGATGACCGACAGGAATGTATTTCTGACACGTCTGGAGAAGCCCAAGATGACGGCACACGCAGAGCCGGTGTGGACGAGAACCGGCTTTCTCAGAGTACCTTCGCTGAGTCCTCTGTGGTACAAGGTGGGAGTCCGCCCTGGGCTTCTGTCAAGGCACTGACCACATTCACAAAGGTGACCCCCTCACCTCCCGAAGGCCTCATATCCTAAAACCAGCACTTTGAGGGTTAGAGTTTCAACTTAAAAATCGGGGGAGGACACAAATACTCAGGCCATAGCATCGTTTACTTTATTAAATAGGAAAATAACTCCCTGTTTAAGCTACTTCGTAGTTGTACCCCTGTTACATACTCACCACACCTGTCTTCTCAGACATCATGGGTGTTCTAGTAATTATTTGCAGCTTTTCTCCAAAAGGAACTGTCCCAACTCCTAACCAAGGTAACACAAGTACTCGAACATGTGCACGCTAAACCCCATACCTGCGTCACTGGAGGAGGAGAGCATTCGCCTCCCGCCCCGGCTCCGAACCAGCACACACAGGGTCGGCAGCGCTGTGGCTGATGCGTCCGATGCTGCGGTGCGGTCAGCACGTGTGTCGTCACCCTTACCTCCCAGGTTTACATTTCTCTTTTGTAAGTCTTCAGAAAGTTAAATTAAAGTCAGATGTGTGAAATTAAACATTTAGTCAGGGCTTAAGGCTAAAACAACTTCACAGTATCAATGATCAAATGCAAGAGTGTCTAGAAATTTTTATTGATATTTCATAGCAATTTAAAAATAAATACACATTTTATTTATACTCACACATGCTCTTATTAGTTTAATAAATATGCTAGCTTTATATATTGGTTCATAAAGTAATTACGAACTTCTTAAAAAATAAAATCTACATATAGTATAGCTTTTATTGAAATGAAAGGAGGATTTTTTTATCTATACATGTAAAATCTCTGAAAGTATGACAATAATGAAGAAATAACAATTCCAACTCCCTGTGCTCTGGCATAAAGCTAATGTTTCTCTGCACTCAGGTCCCGTCATCCCGTCTAGAGTTAAGTGAGACCCGCGGTAGCCGGGCGCAGCGGCACGTGCCTGTGGTTCCGGCTCTCAGGGCTGCTCTGAGCTCCAGTGGGGCCTGCAGCATGGCAGAACCCTCCCTCTACGGGCCGTGGGGGACGCGGGAACACTGGACGAGTAACTGCACCCCACAGGCTCTACTGACCTGGGTGGGTCCCCCGGCTTCTCTGGGTTCTACTGTTTACTTACAGGGTTGGGGTAACTATGGAATTCACTTAATTAAAAGAAACTGGATTCTAAGATCTGATTCTAAACAGTGCTAGTATGATCTTTAGTAAACAGACATGTTTTATCCACATGAAAGGGAATTTCTCAGGACTACAGTCTGAGAGACAGGGGCTTAAACTGAGCAGTGTCTTCCCAAATCTTCTCCAGAGTTTTTAGCTTGAGATACCAATTTAATTCAACCTGAGTGGTGATAAAATATACTTAAATTACAAAAGAAAAATGGAGAGTAAGAAAGAGAAAAATTCTACTAGCTGGGAGATGTCACAATATGCAAACTCTACAATTTCTAATATATTCACCCTCAACCAACACTGAAATTATGAGATTTTTAACATTGATAATCTAATCATCTAGCAGTTTATATTACCAAAATTGCAGAACACTATATTTTTATAATTATCTTTCTGAGTACTGTTATAAACTTCAAGGGGGTAATCAAGAGTTATCGATACAAACCAGCACATCTTGAAAGTTTCACTTATTATAAATTATTTTTTCTATTCTGAAACTAATTGCCTCAAAAAAATAGGTACCAGGCACTGAAAACAGTACTATGGCAAATATTCCTTTATATATACAAGTTTCTAATATATCTAGCTACAAGCTACAGAAAATAATCAACCCTATAACAAAGCAGATAATATTGCTTAGCTTCATCAACTACTCTAGCAGAGGTTAATTATCTTTAAAGGAAAATATTTCTTGGCAATAATTTTCACTTTATTGACAACTAATAACTTATTTCTAAAATACAAACATCCTATTTAGCAAGCATTGGGGGCTCTGAAGACTAGGAAAGACTGCTATTTAAAAGAGCAAAGTCTATGAAATGATCGACTTCGTCTTACAGCAAGACACACTAACACGGACTGTGGAACTGTGCTCTTCAATACAGTGGCCTCTGGTCTCAGTGGCCAATGTGCACTTCCAACGTGGTGAGTCCAAATTTGTAAAATCCACACCCAATTTTTAAAAATTAATACCAAAGAAAAATATAAAGCTATTATATTTTTTACATCGATTACATGTAGAAATGGCAGTATTTTGGATACAAAGAGCTAAATAAAATATATTATTACAATTAATTTCAGTTGTTTATTTTTACTATTTTGTTTTGTTTTTTTTTTTGCTATAGTGCGGGCACGCTTGTCAGAAAGACAGAGAGAGAGAGACAGAAAGTGAGAAATCACCCCCCAGGGGGATGGCCATGCCACAATTCCTTCTCCTCCATTCTCCTCTCGGGATCTTGGGCACGCACGCACACGAGCCCGGCGTGTTTTAAGCCACCGGGTCTGGGACTCGAACCGTGGTCGACTACATAGGAGCCCAGCAACATAGCCATCAAGCCAACTGCTGGTCCCTATTTTCACTCTTTTAAATGACATACATGGCTGACCTATTTCTACCCTACCGCATGGCTACAGAAGCAGCAGGCTCAATCCTGTTAGTAATCCCAACCCACACAGCTAGAGTTGTCTCATCATGGTATGAGATCACGTCCATACACTATGACCAAGTTCCTGAGCTTAGAGACATGCACACCTCTACTCTTAGAGACAAGAGGAGGCCAGCGGGCGGTGTAACGGCTGAGGTGCTGGACTCGCACATGGCTGACCGAGGCTCCAGTGCCAGACCCAGCAGCTTTAATACCAGAATGGGTGAGTGTACACACGTGCCCAAAATCCTGAGGCGAATGGAGAAGGGACTGCGGTGGGGCCATCCTCCCCAGGGAATAATTTCTCACTTTCCCTCTCAGTCAAGCACATATACCCTATGGCAAAAACCTTTAAAAACAGCAAACAATATCATCTTTTCCTCATCTTCTTTATGCTGGCAACTATGAAGAGCTTTGGTTAGATAGGAGTCTATAGAGAGACAAGAGGACTTTTGGGGTGATGGAAATGTTCTAAATTGGTTTATGGTCATGGCTGCATCATCTAAGTGAATTATTAAAATAAAATCATTGAATTATACAATTAAAATGAGTATACTGTATTTTATGTACAATATACTTCAATAAAGCTTTTTTTTTTTTTTAAAGTAATCAGCTAGAGCCCAGAAGATCTGAAGTGCCACCTAGAAGTTATACATAAATTCCAGGTGTTCAAATGTAATTTTAAGTCTATCATATGACTTAGCATTGCAGTGAAAATTTTCCCACAACGGTCATTTCACCTGCAGTGGGTCCACGTCCAAGAGTGAATTCTTTGATTTCTTATTGCAGGTTTTCTGTCGATGAGGACAGAGGGACCGCTGGAGGAGGAGAGTGTGCAGCAGATCTGTCTCCAGGGCCAGCGGGCTCAGGCAATAAGCCCTTACCATAATGTACAGTCTTGTTGGAAATCCCTACCCAGGCTGCATGCTTGCTATTCCACTATCCTCAACAGAATAATGGAACCTAAGAGACTTCCTACTCTATGCTAATAAAAAACGTGAAAGAAAGCAGATGAAGTAAAAACTATCATTTAACCACTTCCATGGAAACTGAAAACTCAGCTGCTAAGTTTTCTTTCTCTATTGAAGAAGTAGCAGATAAATCCAGCAATTCAAGCTGTTATCAATTCAGCAAAAGATACCGGTGATTAGTGAACTTCAATGAAGAATACAGACTCCTAGGGGCCAGCGGGTGGCATAGTGGTTAAGGCACTGCACTCCCACATGGCCCACTATGGTTCAAGTTCTGGACCTGTTCTGGACCTGGCGGTCTGAGATTCATGCCAGGCACATGTGCATATATGTCCAAAATTCCAAGAGGAGAATGAAGGAGAAAGGACTACATCCCCCCAGGGGATGATTTTATGCATTCTTGCTTTTTGTCTGTCTCTCGGGCAAGTACCCACGCCCTATAGCAAAAATTTTAAATGTAAAAAAAAAAAAAAGAAAACAATCATTGTGAAATGCTGTCTAATCCTGAAACAAATTGCCAGAACCTCTATGGTGGTGCCTTTTTTTTTTTTTTTTTTTTTAAATATGATCATTTCCAATAGGAAAAAAATCAAAACAAAAATCAGCTTCAGTTTTTCCATTTTGTCAAAATGTGTGTGATAGGGGAACCAGCAGTTAGCGTAATGGCTATGTCGCTGGATTCCCACATAGTTGACCGCGGTTCGTGTCCTGGACCCGGTGGCTTAAAACTCACGCCGGGCGCGTGTGCGTGCGTGCCCAAGATCCCGAGAGGAGAATGGAGGAGAAGGGATTGCGGTGTGACCATCCCCCCTGGGGGGTGATTTCTCGCTTTCTGTCTCTATGTCTCTCTCTGTCTGTCTGGCGAGCGCACGCGCCCTACAGTGAAAATCTCTCCAAAAAAAAAAAAAAAAAAAATGTGTGTGATGAGCTATGACTCTTACTTTCTTTGCTTAGGAAAGCACGGTAAAGTGAAACACATCAGCCTTCAAGTGCTGACGAAGGAAGCACAGGATCAAGGAGCTCCATTATGGTCCATTCCAGGTCATCAAGCAGCAACCGTGCACTCGGGGAAATCCAACAATGCACGGTTACAGTTTCAGACTGACGTTGCTTCAAAACAGAAATTTAAAGGCAGTCTGTGATGCTTTATGATTCAGTCACACTTCCAAAACTGAACCACGTACAGAGCATTTTTTAACGTGACTTTCTAGAAAGGTGGCCCTACTGATAATCACAGGACATGACCAGCGCTCCACACACCCAGGATCCTGCTCCATCCATGTGGTGTCCCCAGAGCACATCTGGCCGCTGTCTGTACTGTTGCAGTCATGCGAACATCTTTTTAGGATTCCCAAAATAAATGCACAGGAAGACACAGATGTGTTTTTAAAGATACCCAGAAAAGAATGCTATCTAGAGATCGAAACTAAACTGCCTTTGAATTGTACCTGTGGTTATTATGATATTTATTCTTCTGCCATTTTCGGTCTTTTCAATGCTTAAAAGTAGTATAAGTCAACTGACAATGAAGCTAATATTTATAAAATATAGAGAAGGATCTTTTGCATCTGTCTAAAATATCAGCAAACTTGTAACAACACACCAAAAGTAAAGCACTAACATTTAACTTAAAAATGAAAATTTCATAAGATATTCGTAAAGCTCTGAAATAGGTGGTTTTAACCAAACAGCATAAATCTTGTGCTTTGTCTAATTTCCAAGCAGCCAACATTTTCATCCTCTCAATTTCTTAAGAGTTTGGGTCAAAGCACTTTACTTCTTCAGGATTTCTGTTTTACTCTCTATCCCTAGACTCGGTGCCATACCAAACGCAGTGCGAGCATCTATTTAAGAAAAAATTAAAATGCCATCTCATAGCTACTTACGTTAGGAATAAAACATAAAGCTATACTACTAAATCAGAAGGAAAATCTCAGATTTTTCTACAGGCTCTGCAGGAGAGAGGAATGGACCATTTTTACAGGCCTCCCAGCCAGAGAGAGGAGTGGATTAAGGGGATCACAGCACTGGAAGTCTGACAGTATCATGCCTTGTGTAAGGCCTTCCGTAAATCACCGTAGAAGTTGGTCAAAGTGCTGGCCATGGCTGTGTCCACTGCTGACTGAGGAATCATCCCACGCAGATCTGTCTGAATATAGCCGGTCAAAAGGCTCTGGCTTGGATGGTCTTTAAGTGGAACACAGAACCAGCCACAGGGATGGTTATACCCACGAACAAATTCTGGTCTCTTTTCACTCCAGTCAAGACTTATCCCTACAAGGAAATTAAAAAACAAACAAAAAACATGTGACTTAATAGTAATGACTGTCATTTGACTAAAATGCTCATTAAAAAGTATTACCAAATTTTTTGTTTAAATATTTTTCTTATACATAAAGATAAAAAAAACTTAAGGCCCAAAAGTAAGCACAGCAGAATGAAAAAGCTAATTGCCAAGGAGAATTCCCACAGATGGCCGGTAGATAGGTAATGGGAGATTTGAAACCCTTCAGAAAAGATGACTTCGTGTCACCGTGGTAACTCCTTGGACATCACAGCCCTTAGGTGTAGCGGCCAGGCCTCCAGGTAGCAATAATCAAACCTCTGGTCCACTGCTATTTCCCACAGCGCCGCCATGTGGAATCTTGGTACTGCTAGTTGTTCAGATAAGCAAGGAGGTAAACGCCACAGTGCCAACTCAAGGACACGGCAGACACAGCGCACAGACTGTAGATCGGGTGTAAAACGTACGCCACGCACAGACGTACCCCAGGCGTGTTTGGGGAAACAGGAGTGTTCCTGTGGCCGTGTCTCTGATCTCACAAAATACCACACGGCTCCAGAAAAAATATTCCACACACACCAAGTCTATTTTTCATATATGACACGGAACTGTTTTCTGAGAAGTAAATCTATTTACTTCTTAAAGGCAGTCATATGATCTGTACTTACCACATATGACCTAGAGAACAAGGAACAAAAATTTACCAGAAAAATTTCAAAACACTCCTTTATATTGTTATTTTGCTGCCTATGGTTCAGTATTTGAAAAAAACAAACAAACAAAAAAAACAACTTAATGCTTACAAAGTAACTGCAAAGACTGAAAATATATCTCACAAAGAAACGTCCAGTCTAGGAAATGAAAATATTTAATCCAAAATGGAAGTGTAAGATTAAGACTATTACCACAGGATAAAAGCCCTTCTTCATAGCCCACGGTGTAGGAGAAATCAACAAACTCTCTCGGAGAAATTATATTCCAAAGCTGACCAGCAGTAGTGTAACGCATGACACAGCAATTCTGA